ACATTTGGCGCTCCAGATGATTTCTGAGGCTAAGCGGCGAACATGTTATGGCTTTCGACCCGCTCAAAATGGAAAACCAACTTGATTCAGTAGCGTTCATACTCTTAGGTTTGTCAGTTACTATACATTTTTAAGACCCCACAAGCGGCAAGTCAATCTGATAAGTCTTAATAACCTAAGTAACCTATCTAACTCCCAAACTCACGTCGATGCTCAATGTTTGGTTATGCTTTCTCCGCCGTTGCCGCCGCTGGCGTGATCTTTTCTACCTCCGCGACTCGCACACTGATCGTGCTCAGAGTCTCATCCTCCACGTCCGTGTGATCGGTAACGCGAAGGTATACCATCGGTGCGGCGAAGATCATGCCAGCGACCATTAGGCACCAGGTCGACAGGAAGATGTTCATATATCTGAAGTATTGGTCCAGTGGCTTGTTCACAGAGGATCGAGGAACTTACAGGATTCCAGCAGCATCAGTACTCCAAGCGCCCGCCGCACCCGCTGATTGCAGGGACTTATCTGTATGGTGTCTAATGAGCACTGAACTCGAACCCAAAGGTCAATACGCGCAAAAGCCAGTAAACACGGCCAGCTTGGCGGGGTCGTTCGACATCGCGCCTATTAGCCAGTATGCATATGTCTGCAACATTGAATCCAGGAATCCATGAACTATCATGACCCAGACATGAGCAGCATAGGTTTCGTCTATGATGTCGATCTTGTAAGCATCCTTCGTGGCTTCAGCGCGGGTATATGTCCTAAGGAACACTTCCATGATTATTTTGGGCTGTGGTGGTGCACGGGCAAGATGACTTACTTTTGGTAGAAATACGCCCAGACGTGGGCAGCGAGAACCACAAGGAACACAAGGATCCAGCCGTAGAAGGCACGGACTCTGCGCCGGACCCTTTTCTGGTCAAGAATACAATAACCGAGGAAGACAGATCCAAAGATCTGCGACGTATAGGACATTAAGCTATTCAAGCCCCGTGCACGAATAGTGAATATTGCGCCGTTGTAATCATTGTACTCTGCGTAACCGATCAGCAACCACGCTGGTCCCAAGGACAGTACGAACCCCAAGTATAGCAGTAGTTACTGGCAAAGAACATCGGGAAGAGGAGGATAATCCAAGGGTCAGTCTTTAGCGCCACGTATAGGCGGAACAACTCCGACTTCCATGATGGGTGGCGGACCTGATTCACGCGAGTCCCGTCCGTACGAATCACCTTGTCTGGGTTTGCCATCAACAGTGGGAGGAATACGCCGATGAGGGTCAAAATCAGGAAGCCAACCTAATTTGGTGTCATTATCTGGTGACAAGAGATCATCGAATAATATACATATGTGGCATTGCTAACTGAGGATAAAAAGATCAATCAGCTCCGCCGTCAGACTCATAACCATGGTATGCCTTGGCCCTCACCTCTGTTGGTCTGATTGTAGGGGACATGAGCACGGCTTCTTATTAACATCGTAACATACGTATCACTCACGGTATTCTTGAAACTGGTTCCAAATGCTACAGTAGAACCCACGACTCCTCCAAGATTGAAAATTGTCCAAAAGATAGAGATGAACGTGCCCTTCTGAGCCTCTGTGGGGTACGCCATCATCATAGAACCCTGCGCGGTCCAAAGTAAAGCTGCACAGATACCAAGGATGGCACCGGTCGTGATAACGAAAGCACTCGCGTCGGGATGGATGTTGATAACACTGAAGTGCAACGTTTCAGTAACATCACAGGATCGACGTACAAGTCATCATACAGGAACGAGGCAATATATAACGAGTAGCCCAAAGTTCCAAGCATCAGTGTCCACCGGGGACCAAGGATATTGTTAATAGAACTGCAGCGACATGAGTCGCTATGGGTCAAATCGACGACCTTGACTCACCCGGAGAATAATCCAGAAAATGCGAAAGTCGCATACAAAATCGCGCTAGCGTTAGCCTGGACCTTGCTGTTGACTTGGCCTCCACCACCGAGACCAGTAAGCGCAATGAAGATACCAGGGCCCATGAAACACACGAATCCCAATATCGACACTTGGGTGACGGGGTGGTAGTAATACCTCCTCCACCCAGTCGGACGGTTAAAGGGCTCTGCGTGCGGATAGGCAAATTCCTTGCTGCTACCAAGTTTATCGACCTCTGCGCGTACCTCAGACATAGTAGTAGTTGGAAGATGAAGGTACAAGGGCTCATTATCAAGAAGGGATCGCCATATTCCTCTTATATGGATGGTTTCTAAGGGTTCATATGAATCGCAGGCATCCGGAATTCTGCAGTAGCATCAGCGGGTGCGAAAGGAACCGATAAGATTCAATTGAATCCATCGCGATAATAAGTCGTGCACTGAAATCTAGATCTGAGAATCACACAGCCTTATGAAGACTTCGTGAACTAGAGGCGCTCTAGGTCTGATTATGGTAGGTGGGAACCTATTTCGTCAGTGAGCCACGAAGATTGGTGCGTTCACCAAAGGAAGATACTGGTGTCAAGATCATGATACTAATTCGAAGTTCGCCAGGTGGCCTGGCGGTTACCACGGACTGGCATATTGGGACCAATATCGGCTCATCATTCATGAGCCATATGCATGCAATGCTATTAATGTAAAGTTTGTCAGTGAGGGCGCAAGAAGCTACAGTACTAAGAATGAATTATTACCCCGACAATGTGACCAAAGCTAGTTAGTTCGCTATATGTTGCAACTGCTGGAAGATAGAGCTTTTCCATGCTCGCGATTTACATCCTGTCGTAGATGAGTCAACTGGTAACAGACGGTGGTCTTCACGGGCATTCACAGACCCTCATCCTCAACGGGCGTGTGGTCAGTAACGCGAAGGTATGCCATCAGTGCGGCGAAGACCATGCCAACGATCATCAGGCACCACGATGATTCGTATATCTGAAGTGCTGGTACAGCGGCATGTTCATATAGAGAGGAATAATGAACTCACGAGATTCCAACAGCATCAGCACATCGGACGCCTGCTGCGCCCACTGACTGCACGGATTTGTCTTTATAGTTCTTGATCGGAAGATGTATGGAACTCGTGCGATAAATTCATGGTCAATGTACACAGAAGCCAGTGAACGCAGCTAATTTGGCGAAGTCGTTGGACATTGCGCCCATCAGGCAGTATGCATGTCTGCCACATTTGAATCCACGAAGCCATACAAGACCATGACCTAGACATAGACGGCGTGATATTTGTCGATGACGTCAATCTTTTATCAGTATGCCAGCTTTTTCAGTGTGTCCTACAGAGCGCATTCATTTTGTATTTAAACTTGTAGTGTAGCGTGATGACTTGCTTTTGATAGAGACATGGCCAACGAAAATCATAAATGAGACGCCACCCATAGAACATATGCACGGACACTGCGTCGGACCCACTACTGATCAAGGAAAATATTCCCCACACAGTAGGTAGCGTCCAATATAGGGTTTCGCCCTAACGGTCAATAAACAAGGATTCAAAACAAAAAGGGAAACTATTCACCGTACTTCTGTAATCGACCCGAGATTGCCAAAGTGATACACATGGACCATGCCCTAAGCCTCAGTAGGGCAAGGGTCCAAGGTAAAGTCGCGCAGATACTGAGGATGACACCAGCCACGACATCACAAGCACTCACACACGCACTAGAATGCTTGAACACATGAAGTCCTAATATCGACACCTGGCTGATGGGGCGGTAGTGGTATTTCTTCCATCTCGTCGGACAGTCAAAAATCGGAGCGTGTTTAAAAACGATGTATTTGCTGCTGCAGCCAAGTTTGTCGACCTCCGCGTGAGTCAGGTCAAACATGGTGGTTAGAAGACGGCACACATCTGGCATGACTCTCCACATTAGTACCAGGACGGCGGAAGCAGCGAATCCATGCAATCCATCGATCTCATCACGACGACAAGTCCGACTAGTCGTGGCGGCGCCGCTGCCGCATCGTGAAAGAACAGAATCCACAAAATCTTGCCAATAAGACTCCTGGTGGGAGTCAGGCCCTCTCAAGATGGCAACCGTAGACCGACAATAACCATTTGTCCCGGGTCGGCGAGTGCCAACCGCACAAAGAGGCCATCGTGGGTGGTTAGTCCCTAGTAGTACTATGTAGACAGACAAGTACAGAGTACCGGATCACATAATATGATCGGCGGCACCGTACCGTTGGATCTGATATAAAATAAGTTGCCGGCATCTGGCACAATTTACGTCGCCGCCCTGAGGCTGCAGGGCTAGTATCGAGGACCCCAAGGACCGTAAGTCGATGCTCTTTTTTTCTTCCTCATCGTTAACCACGACGACAACATCCTTTTCATAAGCTTCCGCCGTACACGTACACTCAAACCCGCTACTGTCAACCACAACCTCCCAATACTCGCAGTTCCCTCATCCCAGTTACGAGTGTCACAATATTCCTGCGGCTGTGGTGCGGTGCTGCCATGGACGCAACCTCCTGCCACCTCCCGCTACACACCTACACACCCAACCAAGACACTTCCATTATTCTGCCGTTGCCTCCCGCATCCGACCAAGACCTTCCTCGTGCTTGCGCTAACCCGGTGCTACCGCCACGACCTACCACGGTCTCCTAGTTCCCACTTTGACCTTCTGCACCCTCCTGTCGCCCTTACGCGATCGCTTACTCCCTCAACCTCCTGCACTTCCACAGCCTCCACGTCCCAAGGGCAACATCCTGTAACCTCTCACTACCTGGGCACGCCAACACGGATTCTTCCTCGCCCTTCCACGCTGCCGCCGCAGCCTACCACAGTCTCCCGCTGTTCGCTTCGACCTCCTGCACTTTCTTGTCATTCTAGGTGCCTCGCGCGGCCGCCTGTAATATTTGGTTTTTGCCCTGGTAAGCATCCTGGTTCCACAATCCTCATCTCGTTCCCTTCATACTATCCATTCGACCTATTTTATTGCATATTGTGTTTTATATGGTCAGACGATTTTTCAAAATATAGCCTTGGATGACGAGAAGATCCAGGATTACGGTCCCATCGGCGTACTGAACCGCGAACTCGAAGTGCGCGTGGGTCAGCGTGACAAAGGTCCTATTTCATTTAAAGAACGTGGACCTAGCCTCAATGCTGTGACCAATGTGCTTGGTGGCTACTTGGATCAGTACCACGTGTCTCCAAGATTCCTACGAGGATGGAAAGTATTCTGATCCAGTAGTCGAGATGAAGCTGTGCAATCCTATGCTCGCTGAGTTCAGCCCCACGGATGCACTGGTTTCTTTTCGCACCCAATTCAAAGCCTACATCAAGGGCGAGGACCCATTCAATCGGAAGATGAGAACGAACGAAAGTGCTCTCGGCTGGTGGAAAGCATTGCAAAAGGACGAGTTAGCTAATGTTCTTGCGGTAAGTCTGTGAGGCTCCCGCATCCAAGACAAGTGACTAAGTATCTTGACAGGCTCTCGCAATCAAGGCTTTTTCAGTGTCTCCGACATCCATGCCAGATGAACGCACCATGTCGACGATTACTTGGCTCAACTCTCCTCAACGAAGTAGGCAGGAAATTGGTACTCTTCAAGATCATATCAAAATCCGACAATGGCATCGTTTCGATTATAATGTGAGTGACAATTTTCGTGCGTTCTTCTCGATCTCATCAGTCCACAGAAATTGAAAACACCGTACAAACCTCTCGTCAAGTGGCGTGATATGGAATCCACTATCCTTGGCAAGCGTCCTGCCGAAGATTTGCCTCCCGCTGGTCGAATGCCTCCTCCACCTGAAGCGAGAACAGTGGTCTCGGACTTGGACTCGGAAGATGAGTTTGACGATGGCGCAGATTGGTTGGATGGTCCAGCTGCTCCTTCACAGTTTAAGACAGCGGAAAAAGACTCGTTTGTGCTTGCAGCATCCAGTGGTATCGATTTACGCGCACCCTACCTGCGTGAACTGCTCGATTCAATCGGAAAACAACCTGCGCACCCGGGTTCCGGACCAACAAAGAAGGCTGCCGCTAAAAACCTGTCCTCGTCTGTCCCCGACCCTTCTGCTTGGGACGAGTGGAAATAATTCACCTAATTCACCCTAATTCACAGTACATTTGGCCTAATTCACCTGTAAATTAGCGTTGATTTACAAACCTGTTAATTTACTGTAATTCACGTTGGTGAATCTGAAGCCTCTGGGCGCATTGCTAATTTACCCTGTGAATCTCGGACAGTTCCTAATTGACCGTACGCTAATGATATTGTAAACTCTAGCATTGACTAGAATCGAGTGCTTGCCACGGTTCATAAGCACCACCCGAACGACACGCGCATTCTTCACCTAGGAGAAGGCTTAAATGCATGGTTAAGTAGGTACGTACATTTCGTGCATAGCGACTTAGTATACCTTGAAGCAAATGTGTTGGGGGTGTCCTGGGGTCTTAAACTCTGTGAATGCCGTAAGGGTGATCGGACTTCATCACATTCATTTGCAGTGTTTCGACCTCTCCGGGTCAGTGAAACCGAAGAGGCTTCGGTCTGTGACCGAACGAACATTTAAATGCCCATGTCTACTACCCTGGCCAACTTGGGTCCAAGATCGATAACGTTATATTTCTGTCTCATTTTTCTTTCTTCCACTTACAACTTCAGCATCCCCTGCTGACCGCTCACTCAAGTCGCTTGAACGAGATTTATCTCGACTCTCAAGATGACAAGCCGCTCATTTAATCAGTCATTCTTTTCAATTACTTTAACAGAGGGTAGCACAGACTCGTTCCGCAAGGGCAGCATCGAGACGAATTTTCATATAGAGGAAAAACAAATTGTCGAGGAGCTCAATCCGGGAGAAAGAGCGCGTATCCTGCGCAAGCTCGATTGGCATTTGTTACCGTTCGTGTCGTTATTATACATGTTGTCATTCTTGTGAGTCTTTCAAACGCTTGCCTTGTCTAGTCCTGCTTCATACTTTATGCTGCCTTCAGAGATCGGGCCAATGTCGGTAAGTTGTGGGATATACACATTATGCTCTCCGTTCATCACCATCACCACTCGCAGGAAACGCGAAAGTTGCTGGCATGTCTCAAGACCTGCATTTGGTCGGCTTCAGGTACAACATTGCTGCAGCCGTCTTTTTTGTGCGTGATATGCCATGGTCACTCCGCTCAATACCCATGTGCCTTCTCTAGATACTGTATAGTTTTGCCGAGGTTCCCTCGTATGTTTAACACATCAAGAATAACATGTCCATTCTCAATGTTTGTATAGGAACATCGCGCTGAAGCTATTCAGACCATCACGCTGGAGTGCGTTTACCTCAACCTTGTTTTCCTCACCGCCTGATATCTATTCCAGTACCGACTATCATGATCGCGTGGGGTCTCGTGATGACCCTCATGTGCCTCGTCGATTCATTTCGATCTCTTGTCATGTGCGTAGAGCTTGCCCATATGGTGAAAGCAGACACATTAACTAGGCAACGGTAGAGCTCGACTGTTCCTAGGCTTGACAGAAGCAGGTTTGTTCCCTGGAGTGACCTACTACATCTCTCTCTGGTATCACGATCTGAACAGTCCAAACGCATTGCCATATTCTTTTCTGCAGCGACAGTCGCAGGTATGGAACAATTTATTAAGCATCAAATTTATACGTGCTTAATTTTTCTTTGGTTGTTAGGCGCTTTCGGCGGACTCCTAGCGTGAGTCTTCAAGCTTCTCGATCAACCCCCCGTTGAATTTGACCTTTTCATCCACGACAGGTATGGTATCGAGCACATGGAGGGGTAAGCAATCTATTGTAATTGACAGTCCATTATTCATTCGTTGATTAGCATCGGAGGATTGCATGGTTGGCAATGGATTGTATGTTTGCATGTTTGCAGGCTGAGTTAGCTGTCACTCATTTCACGTGGACGTCTAGTTCTTATTGGAGGGTACTGGTGAGTCTGCTGTGTCTGAGAGAGGCGATCCAGACATTGATCTTCAATCAGCCACCCTTCTCGTAGCATGTCTCTCGTTTTTCTTGATGCATGACGTGGGTTTGCGCATCTGTTGTATTTTTCACTGAACCTTCAGACTTCTTAGTATCCCGAAACAGCCAAGTTTCTGACCGAGATAGAGAGAGCATACGTGATAGACATGCTCAAACAGGATGCGAATAATCTCGCCACCCACTACAACATTCGTTTTGTCTTGCAGGCCATGAAAGATTACAAGACCTACATTCAAGTTTTTATCTACATGGGGTGCTCCCTGTCTCATAATATCTCTCATTCATGAGCTGAATCCTTTCATAGGCTGCTCGTCCCTGTTTATGCCATCGCTCTCTTTACGCCAACTATCATAAATGAGCTTGGCTATTCTGCTGCCCCGCTCAGTTACTCTCAGCCCCACCATTTATTGCAGGATGTATCACCACAATCTCAGTTGGAGTTTGCTCTGACAAGTACCAAACTCGCGGCCCATTTATAATTGGTGGCGCCTTCGTGTCTATTGTAGGATATATCTTACTTTATTGTGACGGACCAGCGGGCATGTCGTATGCTGGAGTTTGTCTAGCTGCCATCGGTGTCTATCCGACCATCGCAGTCGACCTTGCTTGGGCAGGTTCAAATGCGGGAGGCGACCTGAAGCGCGGGGTTGTGATAGCGATGGTCATTGGCCTTGGAAACCTGGGAGGGTACGTCATGTCATGACAGATATACGTCGTCCGCTCAACCCTATCTTAGCATTTGCTCCTCGTTCATTTACATTGATCCGCCGAACTTCCACATTGGACACGGCACTATGATGGGATTCCTTTTTCTCTCGTATGCCTCCTCAGTTTTTAGACTGGAATACTAATGACGAGTTTCCGCTACAGAATTTGCTGAGCCTGTTCGCTATGTGGGACTATGGCCGGCTTAATAAAAGAAGGAAGCGCAGTGTCAAGCGGAAGGTCTTACTGATAGCAGAGGGATGAA